AAGAGCCGTGGCACCTTTATAAGCAAATAGAATGGTGGTTATAAAATAATTATTATGCATTAGGCAAAATAAAAAAAGAAAACATGTTTAGCGCCCTGCCTCTTTGACAAAAAGGAAGGAGGAGGCCCTTTTTTTTTTTTTTCCAAAATGGCCGCCCGACACATTTTTCAAGACAACGCGGCGGGCTATTTTTCAAGATGGTTACCAGCTTTTTTCAAAATGGCCGCCCACTTGGACTCATTGACTATTTCCACAGCTTTATACACGGTATAAAAGTCTAAAAATACGATTTCTTTCGTCAGAGATCGTTAAAATTTATCAATTTTTGTCTTTAAAAAAAAAAAAAAAAGGAGGCGGCCTCTAAAAAGGAAGCGGGCGGGGACGCTAAACATGTTTTTTTTTTTACTTCGCCTTATGTTATTTTAAGCTGCCAAAAAGCCCCCAACCAACAGACCCATCACATACAGAAATATAGTTGAGGAACCGTTTTATGTGCATTTGCAGGTTCATGTTTATATTGAATACTGTGGGTTTTTTTCATGGGCAGTGTACCACAGGACAACAAAATATAAGAAGAAAGAGACATGAGTTCTGCAAGGTCAGTGGCTAAAACAAAATTTATAATCACAGGCCTGGTTTAGGATTGCAGTGCCTGACATTCCTGGGCAAACCACACGAGGATAATGAATAACATGAGGCTGATAGAAAAGGGACACAGTGTAGAGAAAAACCCATGAATGACTGTGCCAGTGGATATGGATCAGGTAATTGTTTTAGCAGGGATTGGAATGTGGATAACACACTGAGAGCCCAAAGTATCTATTATTTTCCACAAGAGGTACGTCCTAGGATGATCCAACAATGAAACCAACCAAAACAAAAACCAACTACATTACTGATACTTGGACAATTAAGCTCAAGAAATAAAACAAATTTAAATGGATTAAAAACTAATTCCATGGAGTATTCTATTATGAAATAGTTCTTAAAAAATATTCAGGACAGACTTTTAGAAAAGATGGAAAACAATAAAAGGGTGCCAAAAAAGTAATTTAAAATGTTTTACCGGTTACACACATGTATGCAGTGTGTGTTCTTGTAAAATGCTGATTGATTTATATATCCCCATTTTGTTATTTAATAACTAGAAGAAAAAAAGACTGATTAAAGTACATGATTTTTACATACCAGAAAGTATTTGAAAAGTGACCTGTTGGCAATTTACTAATTAATATCAACAATGTGGATATAGTGGCCATTGTGACATTACATGTTGCATTTTAAGAGTGGCCAATAATGAACCCTGCTACTGAATAAACAGGAAATATATAGGCCTAGATGTTTCTTCAGTGGGAACAAGGTCACAAGGATAAACAACCATACCAACTTAACTCCTGGTTCTGGGGGACTAAAAAAAAAATCATGTTTCACTTTAATATGCTGTTTCTTTCTACATGTATCACAAAGAGAACAATTAAGTAGACAAATCTTACCTTTTGAGCCTATAAACTTCTTCATGAAGATGTTGTAGCCACTGCATCTTCTTTTGCGCAGGGGTAAGACCCTCTGCTTGCCATTCTTTCGATGGTTTGTCCTGCGTTTATTGTCTATCCAACGCTATATAAACAGAAAGTTAATTGTTTCAAAAAACACTTAATAGGCCTAACTGTTAACATGTCATGCATGTGGCACTTCTTCTTGCTCTGTGCTGTAAAAATATTTGGCAACACAGACCTTCTGTTTAATTTGGAAACTTGATGACTTAATAAATGAAACACTGGCATAAATTAATCTACACCGCAATTGGTTGAGAAGGATGAAAATATTGATACCTTCACTTGCTTCGCAGTCAAACCAGTTCTTTCGATGGCCAATGCAACCTTTCTTTTAGCCTCGGCTGTCCCATAGTTTGTCATGCCCTCATCCCAGAGCCTGTCAAGTTTTTCCTGATGCTCCATGGGCCTACTTTTAAACTTCTGAAAAACACAGAAAAAAACATTGATAAGTTTGTTAGCATATATATTAATATTAAAATTGCATTTTTTTTTCTAACTTCCTTATATGTTGTTCAATCACAAAATAGAGGGCATTAAAACAAAAATCCGTTCATAACTACACAGTCCATAGAGCAAGGAATATACATCAAGCAGTAGCTCCAATGTCTAAGCTTCACAACTGGTGCACCTCCACACCTCTCCGTCACCTTGAACAGCTGAGATCGGCATAAATACATGTTCGACGTTTGCCGATTTGCTTAGTATACAGAGTGTTCTTGAATTAAAGTTCCCTTAAATGTCACCATGGCTGGATACATACCTCCGTGTCGTCTTGAAGGCTGCTCCTTTTTTTTCTCGTAAAACTTTATGCGAATTGCTTCGCCAAGACTGCAACAAGTCAAGTACACGGTCTTGATTAGAGGTGTACTTCGATGTTCAGAATACGATATGCCAGCACCGGCCGCGCGTGATGAGCTGAGCTGTACTGTATGTTGGTACCGCGCCGCCGGCCAGGTGGCCGTTGCCCGTGGCCCGGCTGCGGCGCGGCGCTGCGCAGCATGGTTCTGGTGATGAAAAAAAGTTTCCTGTCACGTGACCAAGGTGGCCAGATTTGCATTTCAAAATTATGCTAACTTTAGCAAAAACCTGCTACCACGATTCTGTTTGATCATACGTTTCTTAAAAAATATTTTGTTTTCCTTATTTTTTTTTCGGGGGGGGGGGGGGGTGTGTTAAATTGACACATATGTGATTGTGCACGTCATTAGAGTACATTACACTATACCTGCTGTTCGTTCGTGGATCCAGAAATTTTGCAGGTAGGCATGCCGAAATGTAGAACTTTTTTTTTTTCTCCGGACACTCAGAAAATCACTCGGTGGGCAGGGGAGTGGGTGTGGCTCGTTTCATATTTTCGATGGGGAGCGGACAATCCTTCTCCCGACTATTTTTTTAGGAGGCAGGCCGTTCGCTTGTGACATCACCTTTTAACATTTTCTACTGCCATTTTTTATGGATTTTTTTTTGGGGGGGGGGGAGACAAAAGATGCTTCTGTTTTTGCCCCCCCCCCCCCCTCGTAGAACCGCACTTGAATTTACTACAGGGAAATTTAATGCAAAGAAAATGCATTTTCTAACTCAAACTCTGCTTAACTCAAAATTTGAGCCCACTCGCCAGAGGTGTGACTGATAAAAAACAAAATCTACTTAAAGCGGTCACACTGATTGACAGCACGGTATGAGGGCACTAAATTTGCCGGTTTTAAACAATAACAATTTCATACTGCATGGTGGTACTCTCACTGGTACTCCGGCTTAAAATGAGTACGGATCCAGCTTAATACATTAAATGCCAATTTCCAATAATTCTATCCAACTGAATCGGTCGCCACAGGCTATTCATGCTTCTTTCAGGTATGCTGTGTCATTTCGAAGAAAACAATAAAACATTGTTTCCAAAAATGCCGGGTTTTTTTCTTTAAGTGAAGTAATTCGGCAAATCCGAGAATGGGTACCGTTGGTACGGTTTGTGACATCAAGTAGTTTCAATGGCTGAATGAAACGTGTCCTGGATGCTGATTAACATGAAATAGTAATTCAATACAGCTTTCTCTGAATATACAAAATTTAAACAACATTTATACCTAATACAAATTTCAGTTGTTAAGTTCCTGTAGTCTGTATTTTTGCTTATATGAAGTCGAACAAAAAGACACAAAGTGACCAGTGACGCAGTCGTGATTCTCATACCAGGAAGGGGGGGGGGGGGGCGAGTAGGGTCATGAGGGCGGGGTGCCCAAGTTTCATCTGTTCTGAGAGGTGGACATGTTTTTTTTCCAACGTAGACACATCCGGGGATGTAGAGGTGTGTGGGGGGGGGGGGGGGGGAGTGTGTGCTATACAACAATTTTCCATTGACACTGTTCACCGTCGCAATTCCTGCTGGTCATTGTCAGACAATAGTATATGGGGCCTACGCGTATTGGACGTGAAAATGAACAGCCAATAAGTTATAAGAAAGGGTTTCACCAATAACACATTTAACATGTGAGAAAAGGCACTTTAAAAGTTAAACTCGCTTACAATGAGATCATGATTTTATCCGACTGCAAAATTTACATATTATAGTTTACATACTGTGGGCGGTAAATGTTTATGAAAGCTTTAGGGGCGGCGTGCGATTACAGTTTCCTATCCAATTGAACACAATGCCTGTTTTGCATAAAGTGCCATTTTTGGCTAAAACTTAAGCATTAACAATAGACATTACCCCGTGACGTGATTTTACACGGTTTACGAGTAAGAAAATGAAGTATAGATAAGATAATAAAAGACGGACGTACGCGTCCCCGGCGCGGTGCAAATTATGAATTTGGCATCGTATTCGAAAAACATTTGTTTATAAGTCATTAGTTAATTATTGCGAGCTAAGTACCAATATTACAACAACTCAATATCAACGTTTGACATGGCGATTCATCTTTTTATCCTTGGCAAACATCTCCGATCCACCTTACCTATAATTTGGAACTGAGGCCACAGATAAGAGAAACTAGACTCGGAAGACACAATAGGAACATGATTCGTTTCCGTCAGAGGGGAATTTTCTTCCAAAAATGAAGTAATTAAATCAAACTTGTTTGTAACGCTTATGTTTTCTCTGGTATTTTCTCCGTTAAATAAACTCAATTATACTGAAAAAAAAGTAGAGGATATATTTAATTGATATTTTTATCGCATTAAAATAATTGTGCGTGAATTATTTTCTAACAACACAGTGCGAGAGGGCGCCCTGTAACAGCAAACTTGTGCAAGTCTTTTTACTGTTTCTGTCAAATTTACACTTCGTTGTCATCCAAAATCATTACTTAATGAACTAACTAGCCTTAATTCTGTTATCTAAACGGTTTGAAAGGCATGCTACATCGAAGAGATTAATGTTTCCCGTATCAGTTCTCCAGGTGTCAGGATAAAAGCTTTCACTGTCGATAACGAATCAGACTAGACTGTTGCGAGTTTATCGTAGTGTCTGTGCGTTTCTCGTTACTGATGCTTAGGCCTATAAGTCACCAGGCATCCTTTTAGTCGGTGTTTATTCTATTTATTTATTTATTCATATATTTTATTAATTGTTTATTCATTATTTTCTTACATAGTAAATGTATGGCAGTCATTACTATGCATACAGCCGGCCATACAGGCGTGAGTGCTCTGTCAAACCCCGGCGCGCGACGAAATAACAGAACAGAAGCCTTCGGCAGTAAACAGTCCTTTCGTAAAGTGATTCTTGAACGGAAACAGGAGGATATTAAAATTAATATTTGGTAACATGTATATTGATTTTTATAGTTGTGACAAGTTCGTGACAATTTTAGATTTTACATGCTCTGTGGTGCACTCTCAGTCGAGTATCCATCTAACCATTTTCTTTTTTTTTGGGGGGGGGGCAAAGATTATCCTAAACAAAATATCATCGACTCGGAGTTTGGAGTCATTGAATCGGCTATCCTGAGCAATAACATCAAACTGTTATATGTTTGGGACGAAACACGTGAGGGCTGAAGGAAGGGGGGGGGGGGGTGTCGCCCTGGTCGATAGGTTTGGGTGCATTTTCTTCTCGTCGCGCGTGCCCACCCCGTCTCGCTCGTCGATCCCCCTCCCGGTCGCGCGAGGGTTGTCTCTCATTTTCTTCTGTCCTGGCGCTTTTTAATTTTTAGTCTTATGTGCAACTAATCATAGCAGGCTACGGTCTAACGTGAACTTCCCTATTAATTTTGTCCATCCCTCCCTTTCCTCTCTAGTTGAAGTCTCTCTTTCTCTCTATTAGGCCAAAAAAAATAAGTCGGTCTCTGGTCAGCGCGCGCGTCGATTTTAAGCATGCGCGTCGATCTTTTTTCCCAAAATGTTCCGCGGTAGCTCCAACAGCGCCCTCTATTTCCGCACCTCCTCAATTATTTTTACCAAAGAGCACCAAGGAATGGGAAATTGCACCAAGGCAAATGATCGAAAGCACCAAGGCAAATTATGGAGGACACCAATGTACATGAGGACACCAAAAAAGCAAAATAGTACCCACCTTGTCTGTACAATCGAAGCTTGAAGAAAGAAAAAAAAAAGCAAAATAAAAAAAAAAAGCCGCGTGGCCGCGTCAATTCCGGAACTTTGGTCTGACCAGAGACCGAATATTTTTTTTGGCCTTAGTTGCATTTTTTTTGTATGGAAGGGGGGGGGGGGGGGTTGACCCCCACGCCCCAGATCCGCCCCTGCTAAGCGCTTATCATAGGGCCTAATGGCCAAACTTTCTATACTTTGGCAAATAACGAACCATGAACGAACCAAGGCTCAGCCTGAAAGCGGGGAATGTTCAAATCATAATTAATTTATGTAGTCGATCGAGCTTCAATTCTAAATTTCAACTGTAATTAAGTCAATAATTGTATCGTCTTTGTTGACAGAGTCGACTGGGGCACCATCGATTATCAGGGACGGGTACCTGTTCGTGCGCAAGATATACTTCAATTAATAAATGAGTTAACGGACCACATGATCAAGCTAGGCAAAATAAATGCCCAGTTGAATATCTCAAATCCAAATTTGTTGATGTTCGGTTGGTTTTGTTCGCAACATTTTCCGTCCCCTCGTTTTGTCAGTTTGTTTGCAGACAATAACAGTTTTGCACGAGTAGATACACTGATTTACGGGGAATCCTATAGTTACTGTTACGGACGCGATGACCTAATGAACTTTAAAAAACTAAGGCCATGTTCACCAGTATCACTTCATGCAGAGTAGTTTTATTCCATGTTATCTTCCACTATGCACGCACAAGAAGTAACTACAAGTAACCAATATACGGACATTAATGCTGGCCAAGTTGGCCAAACCCTGCGTTTGCTCAGAGTGTCCCAGGTTTTTGTTATAATTCTATAAAAGGATGACCTTATTTGTCTATTTAATATGCACTTTTTCATTTGATTTCACAAATAAAAAAAATGATAACAACTTCTACGTAATATTAAGTATTTGTCCTTAAATCTTTACATCACTAACCACCTGATTACGAGATTCACATTCACAGAACTATCTCAGAAATTCCGACATTTGTTTTCATATGAAGACCAAGCTTGATACCGAAGCAATGACAACTTATCAATCCAAATTCCTTATTGTTTGATACTTGTAAGCTGTTAACATTAAAGGCAGTACAATTATAAGAAATGAAGGCCAGGCATTGTTCACTTGAATTATGACATAAATAAGAGGTTAAGACACTTTAAGAATTTTAAGTCAATTATTATTTACATTTCGTATATAAAATAGCCGCACGGGTATATGCCTAACTTGCTAAAGAAATACTCCGTAAACGTTTAACATTATCATATTCACGTTGAGTAAATGAATATGTGAACATTGACCCAAATGTCTGTTAAAATGTTGTACATACAAGGTGAAAATGTACATGTACCCAATACATCAGCAACACACGTGTTCATGAACAGATTTCTCAAGAACAATTGTTTCTGTTTCATTATTAAATTTAATTGTAACACCTAGTCAGGATATAATGAATCACATATAGATAAGCAGAGGGATGAATTTGACATCTGAGAATAAATAGTTTTAATTGTTATAGTGAATTAACTTAAACAACGGAACATTTGGACATGCTTTATTTATCAAACAAAAATGCATTGTTTGTGAGAGTTTGCACATGCATGAGTGAAATGTTGACTTGGCTTATTGAAGGATTCCTGTTCAGCACGAATACACCTAATTCAATTGAAACAAAACATACTTGGTCTATATAAAAATGAACTTAATAATATTAAAATAGACTGCACATTTGCAGTCTTTCTGAAAGTACTTGTAGGTCTACTTTATAGGAAAGACAATGTTCAACTGATGATTTCAATCAAAATAACCCGTGTTTCCAAAACGTCCACAATGTATGGCTGCATTGCGCTAGTATTTATGGTTTCATGTAAAAGGCCTATTCATTTTTTTCAATGAATATTTGATATAAGAACATTGCATATTTGATATGAGAATATTCTGTGTGAAATTTCTTTTCATGAAAACATAAATCCTAGCACAATGCGGCCACAGATTTTGGAAGGATTGGATCAAGCTTTGCTAACATCTAATTTCTTCGTAAAAAAATAGACAATCATAGTAAAGGGAAGGTTAACTTATACATGTATATACATGTACTTCAAAATACAAATCGAGGACGAGACAAAAAATCATCAAACCCAAAGGGAGCCCCATATTTTCAACAAAGCTCTGCATGTCGCACTTGTAAGGACATTGTACGTGTATACGCTACCTGTTAACAAAATATTCATCCAAATCATTCATGTACTAGGCCTATTCCCATTATACTTTTAGACATATACACGGTAAAAAAAACCCCAAAATTCCACGTATCACAATAAAGATTAATGTTGATGTTCAGCAAAACATACCATTACTGTGATCAATGGACAGCGAATTAAACCTGTTCTTATTTACAAAAAGGTCATACTGGACAGGTACAAAAATAGGGGGCATCATTATATATATACATATATATATCTTGCAGCATAGAAGGTAATTGTGTTTTCAAAGAAAGCAAGCATCGTTGAAGACATACTTTGGCCCTGACATACTGACCAATAAGAAAATGCTCTGTTTTCTGTAATGCGGGCTTGCATTAAACATATTTCTTGGCGACACAGTCTGCTATCAATGTTTGATCATTTTGATGCATAAGTAGATTAAAATGAGAATATTATATCAAGCAGTTTCAACGTAAATAACATAACGTAGCTAGGTCAAATTCTGTATTAGTTAATATGACTGATTTTGACAAGAATTTGGAATGTTGGCGTAAAGACTTCCAAAAGTGACCTTTAAAACCAAAAAACACAAACATAACAAAATCACAAAATCAACCAAATGGATGAGTTGTCAGTATATCAGCTCAGTTTAGAAATCAATCACTAACAGCTTCATCCTCACTTTCGTCAGATGAAGAATCTGAAGACAGTGGAGTCTCATCTGATGGTGAAAGTTCTGGAGAAATTGCTGAAAGTATGGTAGACCTGAAAAATGGGGTGCAAGATGATATGGGAATATAATTTGAAAAACACTTTTCCAGATTGAGGTGCAGCTGTTCTTGCTCTTGGATGGCATTCCCAACTAAAAACAGCAGGCCCTCAGCCCTATCAGCCTCAGCCGAGCGCAGATCTTTCACGAGTGCCACCAACTGGTTGTGTCGGTCTGACACTGATTGGAGAACTCGAGCCATTTCCTTCTCAACCAGTGCAGTCTCCTCCTTGGCCCGGTCACTCAAATTGATGAGATCGACAGCTCTTCGCCGTGTTGAGGAGGGAATGGGTGTGCTACCCTTTCAATCCAAGGAAAAAGAAATGGAAGAGGGGAATCAGTGATGCATTGATATGAATATTTTTGGGACACATGTCCATATATTATGCATGGCTCTGTGCATGTTTGAGAGCGACTAACATGACACATGTGTCAGCTCTCTGAACTTGGTAATATGCAGAATATGCATGACCAATTTCCATCTGAAAGAACACATTGAAGTGTAAAGAGTAGGGCCAGAGGAAAGTACTGGACAAAGTGGTTTCTGCAGATTAAAATTTTGTTAGTAGCAGGAGACAAGAATACCTCCCAAAAACTCAATCATTATACTTGCATAGTTTCCAAGTTTATTCAAAATGACAGAAATACTGTAACTGAAATTTGCTCATCACCAAGGCACACTGGCACAGGCAGTATTTATAGAGTTGGTTAGTATGCACACTTTTCAGTTAACTTTTCAGTTGGTTGAGACTTAAGTCCAACAGTTCACATGACAGCACTTTTCAGTTGACCTAACCAAAACGTCATAACCAATGACCTCATACACATGTATAACTCCTAGATGAAATCTGAACTCAAATGTCTCAGGTCATCTGAAGCCCTCCTTCACCCAACTATTATTGTCACCAAGTTTGGTTGAGCTTGAAGACAGACTTATTTTATGACAGCACTAAACAGTAAACAAAACCAAAATATAACACATACAGACACACCCATATTTGTAAACACCAGCAATCGCGGACCCCCATTGTCCCTTATCCTCATTCCTTTGTCTGTCCTGTAACTTTTAGCAACAGCTCTCATTGGTTTTGTACACGAATTTCAATCTTGCACTAACGGTCAATCGTGGACCCTTTATTTGTGTCCCTACTCTTTTGTCCCTAGTCCGTGATTGCCTGTGTTTACATACTCACGCACTAGGCATACAAACGCACAGAAGGAAGAAACGATCACAATATCACCCTTTTGGTTTAAAAAGCCAGGGGATAAAAATGAAAGAATCAAAATAACACAAAACAACACTTAACAAATTCAAAACCGAGGTAAATCAAACAGCAAACAATCAAACTAAACAAAGTACTAAAACCTCATTCTACCTGTTTTGTCACCGTCAAGTTTGTGTACAGCTGTGAAGTCAAGTCAATCACATCTTTGTGGGATGTTGACGACGGTGGTGTAGTGAAGTCACAGCTGTTGTAAGCAGATACCAGTTTCCTCAAAGCTTTGGAAGACTTCCGTATCTGCTTACTTAGTCTGGTGGCCACAGACTGTCCCTCTGTACAGCAATCAATGACATTTGGAAAAGTAATTCATGAAAGCCTTTCCAATCAAAGAATTAAGCTTGGGTCCCTGTTTGTGTCAAGCGATCGATCAAATAAGCTGTATGGTCGAAATCAATAACAACATTGATCTTTAAAGGGATATGATTACAGTCATGCTTTGACTCAACATGATTTAGTATGGTATTATCGGGTAACAATATGAAGCAGAATTGGAGTTTATCTACCAAGGCATGCAACTGGGAAACCACAAAAAAAGAGGAAATTCAAATTTTTCCCAGACTTTGTAAAGTGTTTTTGTATTTTCAATGGCACACATGGGAGGTCAAAAAAGAGGAAATCAGCTGATCAGCTGAAAAGGTGCATGCCTGTCTAACGAGTCACAGTGTCTAATGCACTTGCTCTAATCAATTATTTTAATTCTTAACTGTCTGTGAATGTTTGAATGAGGGCTTATAATTTTAGATATGTTTTGCGTTCATATGTAAACAATGTTATGAGTTCCATACCTGAATACTTTTTGGACATGTCCAAAAAAAAGGTGTACTCAACAGCATGTGACCACAGCTTTTGGATGAGTGCCACCTGCTGCTTTCCCTTCATCACTGCCAGGTGGGTTATGAAGGCAGGGTTGTCGTTGCACCAGCGCTGGATGCCATGCCTCTGCTCGAGGGTCTTCAGATCCTGATCTAACCTTGTTTGAAAACGACAATTGTTTTCTCAAAATTTATATAGTGTTATACTTTTCCCAAAAAGACAAATATTAGGATGTAATTTACCATCACAAGTGTGAGTAATATAAATGCCATTCTGAGTTGTGCAATAAACATTTCTAGAACAAACAAAAAAATAAGGTGACTGCATTTAAAGGGATTTTCCATGCCAATGTATTTTCACCAATACAGGTGGTTTGCATTTCCTCCACTTATTGTGTACTATGCCAACACACAAATAAAAACAAAGAATTAAATTCCAGCAGGTATTTCTCAATAAATCTATATTTATCATAATAACATCTTGGGCCAAAAGGTACCTCAAACTTCAAATCAATTTGTATGATTTGATAACATGTATTGCCAGACAGCAAATACTCCATCTGTGTACTGCAGGTTAAACTACAAGTACATTTATACAAATTGTAGTCTAGTCAATCATGGAGGAGTCAGAACTCATGCACTATTAACATTTGACTATTAACATTCCAGTCCCTCAGGAATGCCCATGGCTAAAGCACTGTGCCCACAAGCCGGGACCATTCATTGCATGACCGCAAGCACCCTTTGTACTTGATGATCACTGCTGCCATTTTAGTTGGTAACCATCAACCTCCCTATATGCTGCATAATAAGTAAGGTTTGTCACTGCTCCTCTGAGAAAAACAATTGTAAGGCAAGATGGGCGGTGACGATCAGGTAACACTTTCAAGTACTAGAGTTCTGACTTTTTTTGTTCCTTCCTCCATGAATCATTCAAGTGTGATACTAAGACATGATAACGATGTATACTGGATGAACATTTTAATACAATAACCTAAGTAAGCATAAACTGAAAAACCCTCTCAACTAAATTAAGCAATGAACACTAAGACCTACTCTTGACATTGGCCAGCAAGCATTCCAGCCCTGGTGTCATCATCACACAGTGCCAGTTGTTCCCTATGTAACGAAATAAAAAAGGAACATGCTACAATTAACTAGAATGAATTTCGTTGACTTATTCCAAAAGTTAAGTTGCTCTTTTGTTATTATTTCCAACCTTGCCAAAGGCAGCAAAAAGTTGTAGGCGTGCATATGCATGAATGCATGTATGAACATGATCTGCCGACCACAACTTCAATTTTGATATAATAGGTGCAAATGAGAAGAATACGGAACTTGTAAATGTACAATAAAAGAAAAATGAACTGCTGTACGAAGGATACCAATAATTACATGTATAAAGGTCCACACAAATAGAGAAATAACAAGTAACATTCAAACACAAAGTCTTTGCTACTTGCAACTTGGGGATCTCATTTCTTTTCAAAATTCTACACCCGCCATACATGCAAGAACCACTTCATGTTACACGGCAGTAGTGTAGCTTGATAATTACTCTATTGATCACCACATGATGATTTATCTGCTGTTTAACTTCTTGACAAATTTTCTGAACATCCAAGCTACTTTCAAGTATGAGAGTGATGATTCGAATACTACAGACACTAAAGACATGTACTTTCTAATTTATAGTACTACTATTATAGCAGTCCCAAGCATGTACAAAGTACATCACTTGAAGATGTACATACAATACAACACTTACTTTCTCTGTTCATAATGCAGCAGTTTCTGCACATACTTTTCCTCCCATGGGACTTGACCTGCACAAGACAAAGAACAAATAGAGTCCAGACTACACAAAAACGTACTTTTAGTGAGGAAGCCAACATCCATGTTATTTTAAATTTAGTATACCTGATGGGTAACTTTGATGGCCCTTAAACTCTGTTAATGATGGCGATGTACATACATCTACATGTTTCTGTTTTGGGGGTTAAAAATAGAATATTAATCCACCAGAGAAATCTATGAATATGGTGATGACATAGATTGATACCTTTTGTGGATGACTTTGAGACATCGACTTGACACTTTTCTGCTTCCCTCCAATCCTTGATATCTTTAAGTGACACTGGAAAAGTAGAATACGATGTATGATCTTTATTTCAGGAAATTGAACAATTCTGCTAATTCAACCAAACAACTTCAGAAGGCATGTTATGGGGTAACTAAAGCAAGGCATTTGCATGTATCAATGCATTGCTAAAAATGATATTCTTCAGAACCCATTTCTTAAGTACCAGATTAAACACAAATCAAACTGGAGACTATGTGTATCACATAATTATATGTATTTATCTATATAATGTGAAAGGAAATTGACCAATCAACATTTTAGTTTTGTTTGTTGATAAGTGGTCATTTGCAATGTAATTCATGTCAATTATATATCTTCACACTCTTTTTAATTTTATTGTGTCAAGTGTAAGTTTCATAGACATAGATTACCTGCGCAGTCAGTCACTATATTTCCTCAAGTGCTTTGCTAGAATCCTCTTTAACTCTAACTGCTCTGTCCATCAAAAGTACAAGGCTGCTGCCTAAATGTATATAAAAACAAAAAAAGAAACAAGTAATTGCTGATATTCTCAAGTTCAGTAAAAAGTTGTTGCAAACAATTCTCCTTGATTGTCAAATTTATCGGACGATGTCTAATCCCACGCTATTTTCCATAAGCACCTTTCTGATTTTTTCAAACATCTAATATGCATGACAGCGATAGCACATTTCCTTTTACTTGAACATTAAAGGGAATATACAACATTTGCAAACATCAAAAAACAAAAATACCAGATCATTATGGAATACCTTACTGGACTGACAGTCCTGACATTTTCAAGAAAAGTTGACATTTTCAAGAAAAGTTGTATTTTTGGATCAATTTCCAACACTGATCTGCCGACCGGCGCCTTTTTTTCAAATACTGCCCCCCAATTTACCATATTTAGTTAGTTTGAATTTTGTTTGCAATCAATTTCACATCTTTGAATAGGTACAAGCCTTCTACACTGGTTCCCTGACCTTACAATTCCTTGGCATCTGTAAATTGCTTCATTTCAATTCAAGTTCAGGGAACCAGACTACAAGAACGTAATTTTTTTTAAGAACGTAACTTTTTTTTCTTGGTTTTCCTAGAATCTACGAACACAAAACTTCAAGCAAGTCAGTATAACAATATTTGCTGTAAAATATTAATCTCCCAAATCCATCAATTTCTGAAAATTATGTTGTATTTTCCCTTCATATAGGCAATGCATTCCCTGATTCCATAGAATTATGTAAAGCCTCTGTGTGCATTTTGAATGAACCGACAGGGTTAACACGAATCTCATCATCAATACAACACAAACCATTGTGAGAGATGTGAAAAATATCAGTAGTTGGCATGAATATTTTTTTTTGCAAACCATTGACCTATTCAAACAGCTGCCAGGCATCGAAATTGAAAATCATGTATGTGCAAAACAACTATATGTTAAAAAAAATTAGAAACCCTACTCCACGTATTGATTCAAGCTATATGATCAAAACTTTAAAGGTGAAGATATTGGTAATTTTGGATGATGCAGTTGATCCAAAACTGTTCTCATACCAATGTCAGCTCTTTTCCGACGGCTGTAATGCAGAAGAGCATCTGTAAGAAGGTCTTCTCTATGGGCTGGTGTCATCTCCTTGGTTATAGATGAGAAGCGCCTTAAGTAGGACCAGAGCCTCTCCATCACCTCCCCATCTGTCAGCCCGTAACCGCAGCGCCATCTGGTGCTGTATGCCACCTGTAGGGAGATTGATGGAATGATGAAAAATATCAAAACCATAACTTGTTATCTACATGATTGTAGAATAAAATACATCAAATTATTAGCTCTTCAAAGAACAAACTTGAACAACAAATTAACTACTGTTAATTAATCAACTACTGATCTTAAATCACGAACACATCTAACTATAATGGTGATAATAGTACATGTACTTGGAAAAAATATGACAACATTTCACAATCAATTTTAATTGCAACAAAAAGTTACCATGCACTAATCAAGGAGTATAACATATTTTTCCCCGATTACTATGCTGTTGAGCATCACTGTTGCAAACAATGACTAAATCATCATTGGGATTCATACCTGGCAAGCCATTTTGTGCCCATAGGCATGGAACACAGGGAGTGCCATATCCAGCTCAAGCTTCTTGTCCTTTTTTTTCTACAAAAGCAAAGACAAACTCAAGCAAATAAACTTTGTGACAAATCAAGGGAGTTACATAAAAACTTTTAGTGTACACACACGTGGGATATGAAATGGTTTGTTACCTGTAACATGATGCACATTGTTCATTACCCAGGCATGAAACTGGGAATTTGGAAAAAATTAGGAATTTCCAAACCACATAAGACTTTATAAAGTATTTTTCAATTTAAAAAGGCACTCACGAGATGCAAAAAAACCCAAGTAAATCAGTAGATACGAGAAAAACATGCATGCCTGATTACAATTTTTCACAAACCTAACGAGCAGACAACAGTAAAAATAAAACAAATCGGACAATTAGTTTAAAGTATAGTTAAAAACACACCTTGAAGTGGGCAGTGAGCGTACAGGCAATATCATAGATGACATGAAGCTTGACGGATGGTTGTGCTTTCTCCAGTATGCAGTCTATGGTGAAAGCTGCATATGCGAGTCTAGAAATCAGAATGATAAACAAAATGGGAATGGTAATGATTTTCAACTTGAAGGCCGAAGAACTGTCAGAGTAACAATGGCGATGAAAGTGAATACTACAACACAAAACATGCAAACAGTTTAATGCAAATATATAAAAAAATACTGCAAGTGGAACATGCGCGATCCCCCCCCCCCCCCCCCCCCCCCCAGCATGCTGGGAGCATTTATACAGACAGTTATTAAGCACACTTTTCGACAATGACCTCATTTGATTCGATTGGGCAGTTTCACAATGTCAAGTAGAAATTAAATTTGCAACTTTTCAAAGTGCATCGTTTTTCATAAACCATTGCCAATATTTTACAATTTACAGTCTTTAGTAGAAAGCAGGGTATCAAAATATAGCTTACAACATTCCTAAAGGTCTATACAAATGACAGTATCATATACAGATCAGATTTAAAATTGTAAACCCTCCAACGAGTGTGGACTATCTTTTTTGCGGTGTTTATAGCATATTCGGTAATATAACTAATGAAGAACACTTGCACTTCACGTAGTTGTAACTGTTATGACCATATAAAACATTGGGAATTTATGTACCACAGTGTAACATTTTGAAGTGTGAGATTAATTTTTGCTGTTATAGGAAAGACAAAATTGTCATCTTTGGCGTAGTACTTAACCTGAAATGCAATATCACAGTAGCCTATCTTGCCTCCTGTTTGGTTCTTTATCTCCGGAAACCACGGTCCTTTCCCTCTCGTTAGAAATTAAGAAATTTAAAGATGTCTGCATGCACACCGTTTTTTAGGGTCACGTTGTCATTGTACAAATGAAACTAAGAATTCAAACATGTGAAAATGTAGAGTAACTTAGCATTACTTCACTTGGCATGAAAACTTTGATTAGAGAAAACATATCAGTAGCATGTAAGATGTTACATGTTGCTATTTGAATCTACACATACCGTTCTCCATGACGCAGGTTGAGAAATGACAGGGGAAAACCATGCCGACACGACGCTCCAAAGACACCTGTTGTGTCCAGTTTTTTGGTTTTGTTTTTGGCACGAAGAACGTCGCCGGCTTGGAAGTTGCTGCAGTCCTGCAAGGAGATGCAGATGATGTGGTTTATTAAGGAAAAATGATTATTTTCCATGGGAAACAAATAGTTGTAATTGAAAAAGGTACATATCTTGCACACAATATAAAGAGATTGAAAAGATTCTGCACATGGTGTTACTGCAAACTCTCACTGGTTTACACTACTGCTATGCAAGGCTTCAAATCTTACTAACATTGAAGTAACTTACTTGTCATGCTTGTGGTAAGTACTTAATTTTGGAAAACAAGTCATGTTGACATACCCCGACTGTTAGTAATACGTGCATCTGGAACTGGAATTCTGTAAACTCACATTAGAAATATTGTGGTCATCGTACACGTTTACAAAGTGGTCTACGTCCTCCTGCGGGGCAAACAGGAGGGACTTGTGTTTTGCATCGGTGTAGCTCACGCCTGAGCTTCGCTTCCTAACAAGACCGAAGTTGGCGTCTAGACTAACAAACAAGTCACCATTTTCCTGCAGAAAAACAGTACATAACCAAACATTAGAAATTAAAGGAGAAAAAGGACTGAAGTTAACCAACTAAACATAATCAGCAACAAACCCAAACTATTTCTATTAAAAACAAAAAGTACTTTATATCAAAAGATGCAGTGGGTATACCTTTGGACAAGCTGGGCACTTAATGTCTTCATCCAGCACTGCATTTAGGTTGTGGCACCGGTAACGAAAATACCGGTACTCCTCAAAGCATTCACTGACCAAGTTGAGATACAATAAATTGACCTGCGAAAAGAATTAAACACCTTACATTTTTTTCATTAACCGTTTAGATTCACTGATGAAAATGGAACCCTCCCTCTTTGTCACTGACAATTTGGAAAGAATTACTCTACACATCCAAATACACATTTATCAGGTTTTAACAGTGACACTGGCCTCATACATGCATTGGTAGGCTGTGGTAGTATTGTTAACTGAGGGTACCACGCTTGATTGACATATGATAGATGTGGTGGGTCAGCACTGGTGAGTGACCGAGGCATCGCTACACATTTATGCTTACCTACATACATCAAAACACTTCATATTGGGCTTTGACTGTTATACACTTTAATCTATAGGGGGTAAAAGCTACGGGACAGGTAGTGGTTGGGTTTTTGGCAGTTTGTGAGAGTTATGACAAAGGCAGGTTGAAATTTGTGTACCCTAACACAACTATGGGAAAAGAGGGGGACAATCTAAAGAATGTCTCCACTATCAAAACAACTCATTGTGGCCAAAGCCCTACATGTATATGAAACTTTATGCAGTGTACTCCAGGTCCAATGTTTTCATTATCGGCCCAACATAGGGAGCACACATACCTCATGCAATGGAAGTCCGTTTCTACAGCCCAAGGATTGGCATGCACCTTTCAGTGACATATGCCCCTCTAGAAGGAGGAAATGCAGTAGGTTCATCAAATCCATGTGAAAAGCTACCCGTGGTTGGTCTGGTGAGGCTGGCCATAAGTTTAACCGGACTAAAGAAGCACATTCTTCCTCACATGAGCATGTAACTAGCCAGCAGTTGTGAAGTCGTCCTGAAACATGAGCAAAATACCAAACAAATAAAAAAAAGTTCTTGAGGGCATTTGCTGAGATTCAGCTGTTAGGGTCATACAAATGGAGATCTCAAATGGAGTTCTCAAATGGAGTTCTCAAATATTGTAATCACATTCATTACGATAACACACATGGTTAATGCAAAATACACAAAGATGTAAGAATTGTGTATGTACATGTATAAAGGGGATACATGTATGCGAACTGCTTCTTTTATTATACCTGAATTTGGTCGATGAATGTTTTCAGAAACAGTATTCTTGTTTGGGACACACAATTTACACATGTAAGTGCAGTGTTGAAAGAAAAAGTTCCCTGCCAAATGTGTCAGAAGGTGAACTCTCAATGCTCTTGCAACGCAAGTGCATGAAGAAAATATTTGCCAATGATTTGTTTTAATTTTCAGTCATATGTGAGACTCTCAATAAAAAACACACAAACATGTTAAAAAAGAAAAGCCACAAATGGAGACAAAAACCACTTGAGTTGTACCTTTTTCATCAAACACCTGGATTGTCTTGCGGGAACGACTGTCACAGTCATGGTCCACTCTCCGCAGGTAAGGTTTGAGAGGAAAAGGTTGCAAAATTCCATCCTGGTAAGAGAGGGCATTGTATGTACATCACATTGATGACTAAAATATCACTCAATGATATGAAATTTACAAAAGTTTGTATAGAGGTTTTAACATACCGGTACCAACACATATTCTGTCACGTTTGTTTATGGTGTAAATCAAGGATTTTGTTTTGTTCCTCTCCCTTTCCTTTGTTTGTACGAACTTTTCTGCAACAGCTCTCATTGGTTTTGTACACATTTTCCACATTTCTATCGTTCCCCTTCCCTTTTCCTTTATTTATACACCAATTTTTTGCAACTGCTCTCGTTGGGTTTGTACACGTTTTCTAATCGACGTTGTCCTCCATTTGGTTCCTGTTGTCCTCGATTCATTGATGATGTTGAACTTGTGTCCTTGATTTACACCATAAACACACACACCCACACAACATCAGGACTGCTTTAAGAGTTGAAGTAAAATGAAATATACTGACATGAAGCATATATACTTTACGGAGGCAAAGATGAGCGGAAATAAAATGCATCATGCATCACCGAGGTAGGCTAGTTTACTACATGTATGTACATGTACATCAGGTTCAATTTATAACAGTCAATATTTGTTTCATAACAACTGTCCCATAGATTCTGCTTGATTTTAATTTACATTTGCACTATCACAGAGATAAGAATTACCAAAATCAACTGCGGCTTGTGGAGATGATTGCTATCTTCATGGTAGCTCATTGTGCAGTCAATGCAGCGGACGACTTGTGGGCCACAGTCAAGACACAGTACTCTGTCTCCCTCATCTGTCCCACAGGAGCAACATGGAAGATGAGGAGCACTGCTCTCAAAGAAGGCATTCTCTAATAAGAGCCTCTTGCCTACCCATGCATTGCACTGCTTTATTTTCTTCGCAGCATATTTCCTCGTGTTTACAGCCTCTTCCTCCACATTCACAGAAAAGGTGGAAGAGGTACAGGGAGCAACACTTATTTCATGTTGGATTTCCTGAGGCTTCTGAATCAAGGTGGTGTAGAGAAAAAGAAAAAAACAAGTCAGGTGTGTTTACAAACACAAATGCCCCGCAACCGTGACTGTTTCCATGACATAACACCACTCTAACATCAAATTACATGTACCTTGGTCAAATGGAACGTTCATTGACAGCATTAGTGTCTTCTGTAGGTTTTATATGAATTAATCCCTAATCCCTATGATCTCAGAATAAATACAAGATTTCTATTGTTTTAGCCACTGTGACCTTGACCCTTGACCTTTCGACCCCCAATGCGATAGGCTCCTTAGGATTGCCAAGGACAATCCACAAACCAAATTTGAAGTTCATATGTAAAGTATATCTCAAGTTATCGCGCTGACAAAATTTCTTTTGTTTTTGCCACTGTGACCTTGACCCTTGACCTTTTGGCCCCAAATGCAAAAGGCTTCTTAGGATTGCCAAGGACAATCCACAAACCAAATTTGAAGTTCATATGTAAAGTATATCTCAAGTTATCGCGCTGACAAAATTTCTATTGTTTCAGCCACTGTGACCTTGACCCTTGACCTTTCGGCCCCAAATGCAATAGGCTTCTTAGGATTACCAAGAACAATACACAAACCAAATTTGAAGTTCATATGTAAAGTATTTCTCAAGTTATCGCGCTGACAAAATTTCTTTTGTTTTAGTCACTGTGACCTTGACCCTTGACCTTTTGGCCCGTAATGTAAAAGGCTTCTTAGAATTGCCAAGGACAATCCACAAACCAAATTTGAAGTTCATATGTTAAGTATTTCTCAAGTTATCGCGCTGACAAAATTTCTATTGTTTCAGCCACTGTGACCTTGACCCTTGACCTTTCGGCCCCAAATGCAAAAGGCTTCTTAGGATTACCAAGGACAATCCACAAACCAAATTTGAAGTTCATATGTTAAGTATTTCTCAAGTTATCGCGCTGACAAGATTTGTCCGGACACACACACCCACACACCCACCCACACACCCACCCACCCACCCACACACCCACCCACCCACCCACCCACCCACGGAAGGACAAGGCGGAAACAGTATGCCCCTTCGGCTTCGCCGCGGGGCATAAAAATTGTACAGCTCAATGCTATTATTTAATCATTTTCAGCTACCTGTACAAAAAAAAACAAGGAACAATGTGAACATGGTTCAGTACTCAGTATGTAGAAGTACATTACGACTAAATACACAACCTCAATTATTCATGTTTATACAACACCTGAATAAATCCCCGTCATCTGATTGGTGAATTGTAGATCACGTGACATATTATTATGCGGTATAATGTACGGTGCGACCATGCGTTATACCCATGTGTTATACCGTTTCACTTTGCGCATGCGCAGTAAGGACGAATGCCTTCGACTGGCGGCGCTATACACATAGCTACTTTGCGTAAACAAACAAAATGGCAGGCGATTGTAGTACAGGGTTTATGCTCCTTACCGATGAAGAAATAACAGATCTTGTAACTAACTCAGATGCTCCCAGTACAAAAAGACAGATTCAGTATGCTGTCCGACGATTGGAAGGTGTTGTATAAAACAAATAACGAATGTTTTACGTTCGTGCGATGGAAAGAATAATTTCATTCGGTGACAGATTGAATGTTCTATTCCACGAGGCGAACATTCAATCTGTCACCTCATGAAATTATTCTTACCATCGCACTCACAAACATTCGTTATTTGTATAATACAGTACATGTATAACGCTACCTTAACAAACATGATGGGGTCCATAAAAATGTTCCCTAAATAGTCGTTTGTTGTATTGATTGTGCATTATAATAGAAATAACTACTTCGAAACTCGAAGTGGACGTTTCACTCTTTTGCCAAGGTACATTGTACATGGGTATGAATCCTGACGGGAACATTGTGTTTCCACGCTTGGGCAAGACACTTTACTGTGATTACCTCCCTCCACCCAGGAGTATAAATGGGTACATGTACCTGTGAAGGTAGAGACCAAATTGCACTGATCTCAAGCTGCTGCAGAAAAATAGTCTCATTCATGATGAACAGGGGTAATAATTATGATGCGCATTTCAGCATATCACGTGAAATTTGTGCAATACAAATGCAACATGTACATAACATTATACTACATTATTATTCTTAGTTTTCATAACTATTTTAAAAAGTACCTGTTGGGTATCTGAGGGCCCTGATGAAAAAAGGTCCTTCAGGGGTACATCCTTCCGCTTAAATCTTCCTCCCTTTGATGACCGAGAGAGAACAGTGACTTTGTGCTTAAAAACGTTTGGCCGATATTTAGGCATCTGGCAAACAAAATGAGAACATTTCAAACCATATTACCAAAAGTGACATTTACATGTACCTTGGCCCTTATTGAACCAGAGTTTATGTTTACAGGGATAACAGGGCCTACAACATTTGTAAACATCACAAAACAAAACTACCAAAATCTAACAAAATATAATTACTGGACATGCTATTTTTTGCTAAAATGCTATTTTTTTAATCAATTTCCAACACTAGTCAGCCGACCAGCATTGCACTGCTTTATTTTCTTCGCAGTATATTTCCTTGTGTTTACAGCCTCTTCCTCCACATTCACAGAAAAGGTGGAAGAGTTTTTTTTCTCAAATACTCCTCCCAATTTATCATATTTACATGTAGTTAATCCGCTCTTTCTTTGCAATCGATCACACACCTGTGAACGGGTACAAGATACCGTAGCTAGACCAATTCCCTGATGTCCTTACAATTCTCTGACGTATATAAATTGCTCCGTTTTATCTTAAGTGGGGTCAGGGAACCAGACTACAAAAAACATGATCGTTTTTCTTGGTTTTCCGGCATCTGCGAAACCAAAATGTTAATCAAGCTGGAACTGCACAACCATCTTTTCAGTGCTCAAAACATGGATCCAGAACTATCCATATTTCAGATAAAATAAATTTCCATCACAACTTTTACATGTAAGTTATTTTAGTCATTTACATTTAGTTGCAAATGTCGGCAAAAGCTTTGCTAGTAACATGTTTACCACCACTATGCCGCACTTCATCAAAACTTTCCACCAATAGCCTAGCAGTTGCACACAACTAAAAGGCATTGCTGAACGATTTTTTTACAGACAACACACGTACATGTACATGTACATGTACGTTCAAGCAGACATATGACATAAGATATGCTGGCATGTGTTGAAGCCTCGTACATGTACTTAGTCTGATGAACATTGTTGAATACATGTGTATGCATGTTGAGCTCACTACCTTTACATGTATGTCACATGATATCATAGGAGAGCACCGAGACGCTCACTGTGATAGCAGTTCGTGGCTGATGCTGTGATAGCGGTTTGTGTGTGGTAGCGATTGGTCAGGAGATGGTGCCCTCTATCCGTGATGATTCATGGTTTTGAGTTGATTACACATTGGTTGAATAAAAACACAAGGAGCGTCTCGACCCAAGAATACCAAATACCGTATGGACAGATAATGGCAAACGCCTTGACTAAGGCTACTTTTACCCTGGACTGACTACATGTACACGCAGGCAACTTTCATATGATCGTACAAAAAAACAAAAACAAAAAAAAACACATTACCTAGTCCCTACCTACATGTACATTGTGTACCTAACCTAATTTCAAATGCCATGTTATAGGAAGCAGAACTCTTGTTTTGTATTTTTTGACAAATATCATCCGAAGGCCAAAAAAAAAAGTCTCCGGTTTCTGGTATGGAGCTTGTCCAAAATGTGGTGCGGCAACGCGGCTTTTTTTTTACCGGACTTTTTTGCTTCAAATGTCAGCTGATGACTGCAAATGGTGCCCGACTAAACTTAGTGAAAATATATGGGAGTCCAGAGAGGCCACATAAAGCTTATTCTCGATCATAACCCCATCTAAAAACACGTTAAAATTGTGCAGCAGCAGGATTCCAGTCAAACCAGTGAGTTTGGCGGTTTCAGACATCATCTTTCATTGGAAAAAAACTTTTTCATTTTGCCGACGCGCATGGCTACGGCGACACGCGCATACCAGAAACCGGAGACTTTTTTTTTTGGCCTAATCAAGCTAATCACCGATTTAAAAGTCAGATTTAGAATAGGAAACACCAGCTCCAATTGATACTATGATTGTGACATAGAGTTGGGGTAGTTATTTTCAGAGCCATGTCAAAACATGTCATAAGCCGTGAAAAAAAAATGGCCCTACCTGCCACCTAAACTGTTGTTTTCCCTAGCCCTCGTCTACCCCTGGTAGTTTCTACATCTACATCTAAGTAAATACTGGACAGGACCAACATAATGGCAATAGGTATCTTTGTCCAGACATTACCCTACTAAGACTTAGAGGGGTATTTTCGACTGGGGAAAAATGTGACCACTTGCTATTCACAAACCTTGGGTCTGACCATGGAGGAAGGAACACATTTTTGGGTTAATTAGGCCCCCTATATGCTGTGATAAATAAGTGCATGGTCATGTTAACGGTGATTGTGAAGTGTAGGGCCTGGTTCCTATAAGGGAACAAAATCCACTTTAAAATTATTGGACCTACCAAACTAGTCAGCTAGTTGGCGATATTCTCAATAAACAATACTAAATTCTACCCCAAGAATCTGTTCAAAATTGCCAAATGGGTGTCATTAGGATTGAGAAAAGTCTGCTTTTGATTGTAAAGGTGATTTTTGAGCAATAAAAAATATTTTTGACTCTAATTTGAACAAAACAAAACAGGGGCCTACACTTCACGATCGCGATAAAGTAGGCCTCATATTAACAGTTTAAATCTCACTCCCTCAGTTCCTCAGTTACACACACACTAGGCAGTGATGACGATGTTTTTCCTTATCTGGTCGATTTCTTCACAGGCTTTACCAATAAGTGGGGGTGGGGAGGTAGCCCCATAAAAATGGCCTATTTACTGGACTGCCTCTGTAAACAAAGTCCACACATCCACATGCACAAAAACATGTCGCACTTTGCCAAATTTTGATTTTCACATTTAGGCTTAGTTTGTAGGGTTTTTTTGCTTTAGAAGCATTCTCACCCTCTTTATAGGTTAATCAGAAAGTGCTGCATTTTTTAGATGTCTAATTTTTGTGAACTTTCATGTTGAAATTGTGATACGCAAACGTTTGCAAATGTATCTGGAAATTTCACGAAAAGTAGACATCTGAAAAAAGGCAGCACTTTTTGATTAGCCTACATGTATATTAAAGAGGGTGAGTATGCTTCTAAACGTGCTAAAGCAAAAAAAACCTACAAACTAAGCCTAAATAAATGTGAAAATCAAAATTTGGCAAAGTGCGACACGTTTTTGTACATGTGGATGTGTGGCCTATGTTTACGGAGGCAGTCCAGTAAATAGGCCACATGTGGTTTATTTTTCTCAATCATGTGTTGTCAATCGGTGACTGAAATGGACCAAACGAAACAAAACAAACATAGGTTGACATCAGAAGTCATGAGACACGATCAAACACCCACCACTCACCTTCACTGTACTTGTAGCTCACTAGTGATGTACTAGGACGTTGAAAAAAGTCGATGTATTTCGTACGATTTGCTCGGATTAGCTCGTAGTACAGTAGCCATCTTGAAAAGCGCCACCGATCGACAGTTTTCCTCGCATACAATGTATGCATTAACTCGAGCCCTGCACGCAATATGCACGCGCCTCGTTATTATCGTGTCCCTTTGTATTACATGATACGGTAATATATAACGGTCATGTTTATAACCTGGCGTATTACGTCCACAAGCCTCACTTATTAACAACGGTGGCTAGTTGAATCGGGTGCTTGAACTCAGGTCTGAAAAGTTGGATCACTGTCCTCTTTTCAGATCTGGGGGCAGGACAATCGTGTTGTTTTGTTTGATGTAATGTGGGCCCTTGTCTCTGTGTTGAAGTCAGAGAATTCATTTCCGAAGCCCGCGATCTAGCCACTTGGAACACTTGAGCCAAATGTCCGAAATTATGCGACGGAAAGTTCTTATATTTTGGGAGCTTTATTGTATGACAACAAGTCGAAATTGAGTGCGCGCAGCATGAAAAGAGTAACCAAATAGCATCGCGTCTGGCTGGAAATGAAGTCTTTCTTTGTACGTGTATGTGTGATTCATGTGGAATTTTGAAAGATGTACATTTGTGACTGGCATTAACATGGTTCTCGCTGCTTTTTGGCAGTATCTTTTTTGTCTTTTTGTCCGTGTGTCCTGTGCAGGTCCACGAAGAAGAAGATGAGGGTCTCTGGTGCAGAAGAAGACGCCGGGCAGCTTTCGTCGATTTCAAAGTTAAGTACTTGTAGATTTTACCCCCTCTTGAACTCAGGTCTGAAAAGTTGGATCACTGTCCTCTTTTCAGATCTGGGGGCAGGACAATCGTGTTGTTTTGTTTGATGTAATGTGGGCCCTTGTCTCTGTGTTGAAGTCAGAGAATTCATTTCCGAAGCCCGCGATCTAGCCACTTGGAACACTTGAGCCAAATGTCCGAAATTATGCGACGGAAAGTTCTTATATTTTGGGAGCTTTATTGTATGACAACAAGTCGAAATTGAGTGCGCGCAGCATGAAAAGAGTAACCAAATAGCATCGCGTCTGGCTGGAAATGAAGTCTTTCTTTGTACGTGTATGTGTGATTCATGTGGAATTTTGAAAGATGTACATTTGTGACTGGCATTAACATGGTTCTCGCTGCTTTTTGGCAGTATCTTTTTTGTCTTTTTGTCCGTGTGTCCTGTGCAGGTCCACGAAGAAGAAGATGAGGGTCTCTGGTGCAGAAGAAGACGCCGGGCAGCTTTCGTCGATTTCAAAGTTAAGTACTTGTAGATTTTACCCCCTCTTGAACTCAGGTCTGAAAAGTTGGATCACTGTCCTCTTTTCAGATCTGGGGGCAGGACAATCGTGTTGTTTTGTTTGATGTAATGTGGGCCCTTGTCTCTGTGTTGAAGTCAGAGAATTCATTTCCGAAGCCCGCGATCTAGCCACTTGGAACACTTGAGCCAAATGTCCGAAATTATGCGACGGAAAGTTCTTATATTTTGGGAGCTTTATTGTATGACAACAAGTCGAAATTGAGTGCGCGCAGCATGAAAAGAGTAACCAAATAGCATCGCGTCTGGCTGGAAATGAAGTCTTTCTTTGTACGTGTATGTGTGATTCATGTGGAATTTTGAAAGATGTACATTTGTGACTGGCATTAACATGGTTCTCGCTGCTTTTTGGCAGTATCTTTTTTGTCTTTTTGTCCGTGTGTCCTGTGCAGGTCCACGAAGAAGAAGATGAGGGTCTCTGGTGCAGAAGAAGACGCCGGGCAGCTTTCGTCGATTTCAAAGTTAAGTACTTGTAGATTTTACCCCCTCTTGAACTCAGGTCTGAAAAGTTGGATCACTGTCCTCTTTTCAGATCTGGGGGCAGGACAATCGTGTTGTTTTGTTTGATGTAATGTGGGCCCTTGTCTCTGTGTTGAAGTCAGAGAATTCATTTCCGAAGCCCGCGATCTAGCCACTTGGAACACTTGAGCCAAATGTCCGAAATTATGCGACGGAAAGTTCTTATATTTTGGGAGCTTTATTGTATGACAACAAGTCGAAATTGAGTGCGCGCAGCATGAAAAGAGTAACCAAATAGCATCGCGTCTGGCTGGAAATGAAGTCTTTCTTTGTACGTGTATGTGTGATTCATGTGGAATTTTGAAAGATGTACATTTGTGACTGGCATTAACATGGTTCTCGCTGCTTTTTGGCAGTATCTTTTTTGTCTTTTTGTCCGTGTGTCCTGTGCAGGTCCACGAAGAAGAAGATGAGGGTCTCTGGTGCAGAAGAAGACGCCGGGCAGCTTTCGTCGATTTCAAAGTTAAGTACTTGTAGATTTTACCCCCTCTTGAACTCAGGTCTGAAAAGTTGGATCACTGTCCTCTTTTCAGATCTGGGGGCAGGACAATCGTGTTGTTTTGTTTGATGTAATGTGGGCCCTTGTCTCTGTGTTGAAGTCAGAGAATTCATTTCCGAAGCCCGCGATCTAGCCACTTGGAACACTTGAGCCAAATGTCCGAAATTATGCGACGGAAAGTTCTTATATTTTGGGAGCTTTATTGTATGACAACAAGTCGAAATTGAGTGCGCGCAGCATGAAAAGAGTAACCAAATAGCATCGCGTCTGGCTGGAAATGAAGTCTTTCTTTGTACGTGTATGTGTGATTCATGTGGAATTTTGAAAGATGTACATTTGTGACTGGCATTAACATGGTTCTCGCTGCTTTTTGGCAGTATCTTTTTTGTCTTTTTGTCCGTGTGTCCTGTGCAGGTCCACGAAGAAGAAGATGAGGGTCTCTGGTGCAGAAGAAGACGCCGGGCAGCTTTCGTCGATTTCAAAGTTAAGTACTTGTAGATTTTACCCCCTCTTGAACTCAGGTCTGAAAAGTTGGATCACTGTCCTCTTTTCAGATCTGGGGGCAGGACAATCGTGTTGTTTTGTTTGATGTAATGTGGGCCCTTGTCTCTGTGTTGAAGTCAGAGAATTCATTTCCGAAGCCCGCGATCTAGCCACTTGGAACACTTGAGCCAAATGTCCGAAATTATGCGACGGAAAGTTCTTATATTTTGGGAGCTTTATTGTATGACAACAAGTCGAAATTGAGTGCGCGCAGCATGAAAAGAGTAACCAAATAGCATCGCGTCTGGCTGGAAATGAAGTCTTTCTTTGTACGTGTATGTGTGATTCATGTGGAATTTTGAAAGATGTACATTTGTGACTGGCATTAACATGGTTCTCGCTGCTTTTTGGCAGTATCTTTTTTGTCTTTTTGTCCGTGTGTCCTGTGCAGGTCCACGAAGAAGAAGATGAGGGTCTCTGGTGCAGAAGAAGACGCCGGGCAGCTTTCGTCGATTTCAAAGTTAAGTACTTGTAGATTTTACCCCCTCTTGAACTCAGGTCTGAAAAGTTGGATCACTGTCCTCTTTTCAGATCTGGGGGCAGGACAATCGTGTTGTTTTGTTTGATGTAATGTGGGCCCTTGTCTCTGTGTTGAAGTCAGAGAATTCATTTCCGAAGCCCGCGATCTAGCCACTTGGAACACTTGAGCCAAATGTCCGAAATTATGCGACGGAAAGTTCTTATATTTTGGGAGCTTTATTGTATGACAACAAGTCGAAATTGAGTGCGCGCAGCATGAAAAGAGTAACCAAATAGCATCGCGTCTGGCTGGAAATGAAGTCTTTCTTTGTACGTGTATGTGTGATTCATGTGGAATTTTGAAAGATGTACATTTGTGACTGGCATTAACATGGTTCTCGCTGCTTTTTGGCAGTATCTTTTTTGTCTTTTTGTCCGTGTGTCCTGTGCAGGTCCACGAAGAAGAAGATGAGGGTCTCTGGTGCAGAAGAAGACGCCGGGCAGCTTTCGTCGATTTCAAAGTTAAGTACTTGTAGATTTTACCCCCTCTTGAACTCAGGTCTGAAAAGTTGGATCACTGTCCTCTTTTCAGATCTGGGGGCAGGACAATCGTGTTGTTTTGTTTGATGTAATGTGGGCCCTTGTCTCTGTGTTGAAGTCAGAGAATTCATTTCCGAAGCCCGCGATCTAGCCACTTGGAACACTTGAGCCAAATGTCCGAAATTATGCGACGGAAAGTTCTTATATTTTGGGAGCTTTATTGTATGACAACAAGTCGAAATTGAGTGCGCGCAGCATGAAAAGAGTAACCAAATAGCATCGCGTCTGGCTGGAAATGAAGTCTTTCTTTGTACGTGTATGTGTGATTCATGTGGAATTTTGAAAGATGTACATTTGTGACTGGCATTAACATGGTTCTCGCTGCTTTTTGGCAGTATCTTTTTTGTCTTTTTGTCCGTGTGTCCTGTGCAGGTCCACGAAGAAGAAGATGAGGGTCTCTGGTGCAGAAGAAGACGCCGGGCAGCTTTCGTCGATTTCAAAGTTAAGTACTTGTAGATTTTACCCCCTCTTGAACTCAGGTCTGAAAAGTTGGATCACTGTCCTCTTTTCAGATCTGGGGGCAGGACAATCGTGTTGTTTTGTTTGATGTAATGTGGGCCCTTGTCTCTGTGTTGAAGTCAGAGAATTCATTTCCGAAGCCCGCGATCTAGCCACTTGGAACACTTGAGCCAAATGTCCGAAATTATGCGACGGAAAGTTCTTATATTTTGGGAGCTTTATTGTATGACAACAAGTCGAAATTGAGTGCGCGCAGCATGAAAAGAGTAACCAAATAGCATCGCGTCTGGCTGGAAATGAAGTCTTTCTTTGTACGTGTATGTGTGATTCATGTGGAATTTTGAAAGATGTACATTTGTGACTGGCATTAACATGGTTCTCGCTGCTTTTTGGCAGTATCTTTTTTGTCTTTTTGTCCGTGTGTCCTGTGCAGGTCCACGAAGAAGAAGATGAGGGTCTCTGGTGCAGAAGAAGACGCCGGGCAGCTTTCGTCGATTTCAAAGTTAAGTACTTGTAGATTTTACCCCCTCTTGAACTCAGGTCTGAAAAGTTGGATCACTGTCCTCTTTTCAGATCTGGGGGCAGGACAATCGTGTTGTTTTGTTTGATGTAATGTGGGCCCTTGTCTCTGTGTTGAAGTCAGAGAATTCATTTCCGAAGCCCGCGATCTAGCCACTTGGAACACTTGAGCCAAATGTC